ATACAGTTTCATAAGTGGGAACTATTTGAAAATGTTTGCTATGATGGTGAGTGACCATCAGACAATGTGAGAGATTAATTAAGTTGAAAACCTCTAGGAATCTAAATTCAAAGTATTGCTTATCAAAAGGCCATAGTGTCAAAAAATTATAATTCTTTAGCTGATAAATTGTCTCATATTAAGATAAAATATCTTCCTAGTGTATCTGAATTCTTTTTTCAATTAGTAGTAAATAATCTGTCATGACAAAATTTTTTCAGACTTATTTTTAACTCATTTTTAACCGTAAATTTAATGTTTTTTGTGTGAAAAAAACCCTGAAAAGATATCAAAACTTACACTATGGATTGTAGCTGATTGATATTTAGTAGACTTCATAAACACTTAGATTGTTTTCCCGCCCGAACAATTCATAAGATCTTTATACTGTTTTTGTTTAATGTAGTCGCATAACATAGAATTAAATATTTTTGATAACATCAAGTTTTCTAAGTTAGATGGTTTAATCACAAAGCTTTCGTCGTCATTGTCGATAACATCATCAACGCTTACTTTAAGTAGGAGATTCATAGGTCGATAAAGTTCTGTCTGCGTTTTAGCTTATTACAGCATAAAAAGTAAATTCTAAAGTTTAATAGCAAAAATCATATTGTTATATTTTCGGTCATTACGCTAACAAATTTATTATAAAAACCATATTTAAACATACAGGAAACCAATAAACCACCCAATATTTTATACTACAAATGCTGATAAATTTACATGTTCCGATACCGCAACATCCAAGATGAAATGTAGAAGTCTGAAGCATTGAACTTGTCTATTACGACGAGAATTGTCTAATTCCATAATTAATAAAACAACATAATGAAACATCTTAAAAATGGAATTTAAAAAAATCAATTTGGTATTGAACAGTGAAATTGGCTTGTAGTCATTATATTTGTGATCTCTTGACATGATCCTGATAGAATGGGTCAATCAGGTATCGACCAAATGATAAGCGCACGCACATGGCCAAGATTTGGATTCCTTTTCTAAGGAACTAGACTTACAACAAAGGCTAGATATGTAGCTTTGATTTTAAAAGGGCAAGTATATATATATATATATATATATATATATATATATATATATATATATATATATATGAGTGTAAATGTATCTCTCGGTTCGCTTTAGCCAATAAAGATTCCTCCTCATTTCAGGTCTTGACATTCAAGTAGCCGATTAGACTTTTATGTTGGAAGCTTGCGTATTCGTATCGAAATCCAACAACTCAGGACATAGCTGATTTATATGCCCTAAATAAACTGATAGTTTATGGTAGCATTAATGTTTAGTTAAGTAAATACCCAAAAATGCTCATTCTCTAAACAAAATCAATTACTTATATAAACTTATAAAATATTACTTTCTTTAATGAATTAAATCATAAGAAATACAAATAAGATTGTTCTATGAAACTATTCATAGATGTAAACGATTATTAACAATAAATCCTAAGAAATAATCGTACTAGAATGCTTTTCTTCACTAATTTAATAATCAAATAATTATAAAAGTATATTTCAATGGTTGAAATGATGAGTCAGTTGAAGCTAGACCACCATGGGAAACCTGGAAGCACTGGACGGCCGTTTCGTTCTATTGCGGGACTCCTCAGCAGTGCACATCCACGACCTCGCCCCTGCGAGAATCGGACCCAGGACCTTCTGGTTTCGCGCGCGATCACTTAACTACTAGACCACTGAGTCGGCATCCAACGGTGTCCACGAAATTGAGCGACACATCCACCATTCCAAAGTATATTTCAAATTTTTCTTATGATTTAATTAAATTTAATCTAGTTCAATCAATTCAAATAATTTTGGTCGAAAACATTTTCATGTATGAAGATGTGATAGAACTATGATTACATTAAAACTAAACACGTTAATCATGTTTTTAATTCAAGACACATATGACAATGTAATTGTCTTTTTTTTCTCTTTCTTCAAATCATCTATGTTTAGTATTATAGAATGACAATCATTGAATGCGTTTAATCTAAGTCTGATTAAAACGTGATAAAGTTTACATTTCTTAGAAAATTGATTTTACATCATCTCAAATACAATGAGTTAGATACGCTTATGATCTTAATAATAACAATAACAAACAATATTATTGTTAACATTGTTAACTAATCGATTAAATTTTGTTGTGCATAAAACTTTATAATAAATAGAAAAAAATATTACTAATTTAAGGATGGAAATATCAGTTGTCAAGAATAATTTCTTGATATATTAGCATGGTTTTATTATAACACTTGGGGTTCTTTTTTTACACAAATGGGACGTTAATTTACCTTAGATGAATAACTACATAAAATTCCTTCTCAGTGTCTGTTCTACAGAATTTCAACACAACTCAGATCAAGAACATATGATTAACCTGATTAGAATGTAAATATATTTCCACACCAAAAACCGACAATAATTCAACAGCAATCAACAATCAGTCAATAGTAATAATAAGGACAGGAAAATATACAACTCATCTAACACTTCGCAGATTGAAATCATGAGTCAATTGAAACTAGACCACCATGGAAAACCTAGAAGCACTGGACGGCCATTTCGTCCTAGTATGGGACTCCTCAGCAGTGCGCATCCACGACTCCACACCCCGCGAGACTCGAACCCAGGACCTATAAGTTTCGCGCCAGGAGCTTAACCAACTAGACCACTGAGTCGGTATCTAACGGTGTTAATGTCTAACTTCAACCAATCCATCTAACACTTGTCAGACTATCTCCACATCTGACTAAGCAAGCAACCAATCGTTATTATTCTTGTCCACATATCAGATTTGAACTTTTATTTTATACACATCATAGGGTATAAGATTTTGGGATAATAGAATCCATTTTAATGTTCAAAACAAGTTTATGATATCTTTCATAGTCTAATGGTTGATAAAGATTTTTATTATTATTTTCCTTCACCTCAAATTATGTCTTCTTTTATTAATTGAGTATTTGAACTTTGAATTTTCATATACTTTAATCTTTTAATATTTTATAACTCACATAGATTGATACTTGTTTTTACCATGATTTTATTTGAGCTTTGACTTATATGAAAAATGATGGATTACTTGTTCCTTTATCATGTTGTTTTTATTTTTTTTAAACACTACCTCGGTTAATATGTAGTGTCGGCTATTATGTTAAGCCCATATACCTTATTCTCGCTTTCGGACAGCCCATTATATTCATTCTACTTCAGTCAAATTCTGACCTTGTTATTTATTCGCTTATCAATCTTGACTGTTGTTATATGAGCGCGTAGGTGTGTGTACATTTCTTATCCCATTACTCGTCACATGTCTGTAACTTACTTTTGTGTAACACTAAATATTGATTAACACTTGGTTAAATGGGAGTTGACTTACCAGCCATCTCCACTGCGCGTCGTTTTGCTTTGTTCGATTCCATCCGCTTCATATACAAAATATATGTATTCGAAAGTCCATTCTCGTTATTCGACTTATTTAATTCCGTTATTGACTAACGCGATTCAAGTCGATGATTATACACGAGGATAGACGACATATATATTTCAACAACATTCATTATTACAATCACATTGGAGTCAGATCTCGGGACACTAAAATGGAGAGCCCATCAACAAACATCGTCCGATCTAAAGAGGACAAAATTACGGGCCCCACTAAATATACCACATTTGTTATTATAAAATTTATTTTTATGTAATAGTCAGACAATCTACATTATAGTTAATATGCATTTACAAAGTAAGTAAAGTATGAGAATAAACTAACTGAACAACGTATATAAGTGAATATAACTTTTGCTTTAGGGAAATTCTTATCTTTCAGATGTGGATTGTTTAATTTTGAATTACAAAGGATAAAATATTTTGAGTACAATTTAAACCTACAATCATTACCAAGGTTTGATTTGATAATTTTGAATAAATTGAGCATTGGGTAGATTGTTATAAATGAATAATATATTTGTAATATCCCACTGAGTGGAAAAATTTGATTTTCTGACATTTCGTAACCGATCTGGTTATTTATTCTCTGAGGAAGAGGCTTACACTAAGTCACAAAACGTCAGAAAATGTAATTTTCCTACTCATTTGGATATTACAATTATATTTTTCATTTATAAACGTACAATAGATTATGTAATTGTAAAGTGAATGGGTAATTGCATTTAAATTTTATGTTCGTTAAAACCTTTCCATAGAAAATTGTAGCATCCTAAGATCGTATATTTTATCGAACATTAAGTAAGTATTGTTCAATATTGAAATCAAAGATTATTATTACTTCATTATCTGAAGTATGATTATATTTACTTATCTGATTATGAAAAATAGGTAATTTACAGAATGTTATAAGCAAATAAACTTGATATAAATCGTTATGCAATCACCGTTGTGTTTATAAAATATGAAATCTATGTAACACTTGAAAAGAACATGATAATAAATTTACAAACATTGCATATTTGATATATTAAATGTCTTTGTAATTATCAGAAAATAAGGATACCCATTCAGTCTCATTTTGATAGGGTTAACACTATAGGATAATTAGTTTGAGATAACTTTATAACATTGATGTCGTATACCTTTTTTTTAGTAACTAACGCATTTCAGAATAAGTAACATCACTTCATCTTCAAATGGTTTTTGTTTATACACGATGATCGAAATAGGTCAAATTTCCAAGTCAATATAACACTGATCAATGATTGGCTGTCACTGACGTCACTTGAGAAAAGCCATTCAAGGTCAAAATGATTTTCTTATTGGGTTGTGATAATAAATTATAATCAATGCCATATCCTTTATGTTTTTCAAAATCATTACGACTTTATTCCACATATATTTCTGTCTCACGTTTGATTGGACATTTTCTGTAACCTTGATGTAAAATCTTGTCACTGATTTGACTTCATAAATAACCAATAAAAGTTCTGGATTTCACCATAGAAAGAAAAAAAATCAAGTTGAAAATCAGTTGTGTTCAAATATAGAAATCAACAATTGGAAGTAATTTGTAACATCTTTCAAGGTAATCTATCAACTCTTTGTTACAGAAATATCTTCATAAGTAAGTATTTTAAAGATTGCTTAGATTTGAACTGGTAAGGTTTCTTAGTTATGGAAATACTTACCTAACCGTTATGTGTTAAAAAATAAATAAGGCTAATTAATCCAAGCGAATTTCTCACGGATAGAAAAGATTTTGCCGTATACTAAGAAAGGGCTTTATTTTCTGTTACATCATTGTATAATAACCATTTTTATGCTGTATAGGTCTCAATATTGATTAAAGTATATTAAAACCATTTGATACAGTGGTATCAGTCTGAAATGTTATTTATCAGTTCATCACGCGATGATTTCTATTGAAGCTAAATTATGCAAACCAACTAGTCACTAGCTAATAAAATTTGTATCGTCTCAGTTTTCAGTTGTGAGTGCACCCGATAAATCAAGGAATGTAACTCTGAGAATAATATAAGTGATTGAAAATCGTGTCAACTGAATGTCAGTACTATTAAATGCAATATAATTATTAATAGTGTGTATTGATAATTATACTGACAGAGTACGTAGTCAAATGTTTCAACTGTTCATATTAAACTGTGGTGGTTCAAAGCTTCCATGTCAGCATAGTATGAAGTTCTTCAGTTCAAACAATAATAAAATCTACAATAACCTAGAAATACTCAATTTGAATTTATTTAGAAATGTGAATGAATATGTGCAACAATACGAAGTCAATAGTAGCAAAAAATACTGAGTAAAGGACGATAAGCAATATTGTTATTATGGAAGAGATACTCTAACTAGGCTTTAAATCAATCGAAAAACCCATCATCATACAGATATGTACAATTTATTTTCGTATGTGTAGAATCGGGGTCTTCAATTCAGTATGTATCACGTTATTTACTAACCCTAACCAAATTTATTCTGAAGAAAAATCATAAAAGTATTCTGGTCCCAGTTGGCAATTCTCTGAAAAATAAAAAAATTCAAGTCAAATATTTTGATCCTGACAAATCCATAATGAGAAGCTTATACTAAAAACAGCATAATGTCCTAACTCATTCTTCTAAATACAATTTGTGATTTAGCACAGGGGTTTCGTCAGAGAATAGATAACTTTCTTCTAATAAATATATGTCTGAACAGAAAAAGTGAACAAACCAGATCAAATAGAAAATATATATACGTGATCTAAGTATTCCATCGTGTTGTCGATCAGATACTAGGTAATGATATCTAAATCATGATTTTTGCTTATGTTTACGATGCAGTGGAGTGATTCAATTTGTACGTGTATTTATAGCAGGCTGTTGTAGGATGCCAGGATTATTGTATTAGTCATTGTGCTAATTATTTTATTAGTTTGTTATCATAAGAGAGGTGCATGAAAGTCTTGGACGAAGGATGACTTTTCGCCTCACATTTGTACAGCTTATACTAGGTAATATTATGTCTTAATTAGAACTTGTCTTTGTTCGCTGTTATAAATTGATGGTAATTACACGATCACAATGTAAACTCAACTGTTATAGTGGATGAATATTAGATATATGGTTATCTAACCGATTATCTGATTGAGTTTTTATAATAGAGTAATGGTTATGCATAAAAAGAAAATAACCGACAAAGGACTGTCGAATGAATAGATATTTATAAGAAAATAACCAGCTATCAGAAACTTATTCTTACTTCTTAAATAGCACATTCGTATAGAAAATATAGAAAAAGTTACCATGATTAAAAGTTAAACACAGAATGTCCATAGACATGTAATCATATCCACATATAATTGAACATCTGATGATTTTGAGTTAGTTATCTATCAACGATGACATCCAATTTTATAAGTAATGACCAATTTTGTCTGTGTGCACACATATGACTGATCTAATTGAATTTTGTTTTAAGATGACTAGATTAACTAAACACAAGTTGCAGTTAGTTGCCCTTTTATTCATCTCTACAGTTTTTTCCTGAGCTTATTATTTCTAAACTCCAGCTCCCCGTAAGGTCTTTCAATCCCTATTTATTACATATCTTTTGTTGTCCTATAAATTAGAAAACCAACTCAGAATGTTAGATTTTGGTGTGACCCTTCGTTTTAATGCCAAATTAAATCGGAAGATTATGCTATCGACTGTCTCACCATTTTTACTGGCTCGATATCTGAATCCTTTTAAATAGTATTATGATCGTTATTGAAATATACATGACACCGATCCTCGTATAAAATTATCGACTTAAATCGCCTTAGTGAATAACGGAACCAAATAAGTGAAATACGAAAATGTATTATGAACACGTATATTTCATATAATCGTTGATCTAGACAGATGATCAGAGAAACGAAGCGAAGAACAGATCGAGGCGAAACGGATTGGAGAAAGCAACTCGATTTAACCAAGCCTGACTTGACACTTATAGTCAGACAAAAAATAGAATGCAGAAATGTGGTGAGTAGGGTAAGGGATTAACACACATGCTCATATAAAAAGTCAGGGTTAATAAGTGAATAAGTGACAAGGTCAGAATGTAGCATGAGTATAATGGGTAAACTGATCTATCTGGAAGCTAGAATAACTCATGTTGATTTGACATGGTACTAGACACTAAAAGTTGATAAAGTATTTTATTATTTTGTACCGTTTTAGTTTTTCTCGCTTTTGGAATGTGAAAGCCTTCAGAAACGCAGCAAAACTTGTAAAAATTGCCTACTTATCTAATGTTTCCTTGAAACCGAGTAGTTATAAATATCCGGTTAAACTTTTTCTTACTATTCATTTACTTATAGTCCCAGTCATTTAACCTGACACCAAATAAATCACGGTTTCACTGCTAATGATGTTTCCTATCCAGATCTCCTTAAGAGCAATCCTCTTTTGTAAATTTCAATAAAGCTATTCATTATTCGGTGGTTTATTATAACTTCATCGTGTAATTTAATCCTACTGTTTCTTACTTTGTATTTACAACTACTGAATTTTATGGTACTGTGTTTTAATACTTTTCGCATAATTTTCCAGTAATCTAAAATTCATAACTCCTAGTCTAGTTTAATTTTCTGTGTTCGACTTTCAGCTGTATTTCATGTGGGGGCTTGTATATTAACTAGCCACCTAAATTGGAATAAAGAAAGGAGTTGAAATCTGTGAAACACATACTGAAAGCAGAATACTTTAGTCACTAGGCCTCTGATCTTCATTCTAAGTGTTTACTTTAAAATGACGATAAATTGGAAGCTGAACTGCGTCAACGATAAATGTATCGAATTGTTTGAAGTAGTTTTATATTAAGAACTTTAAACATAACTACAAGAATGTTCTCTTCTTTTTTAGTGTATATCTATTAATCTGTTTTCCATATCTACCAATATGCCCCCAAATGCCCTGGTACGGCCGAGAGTGGGGAGAGTCCGCTCTCCCTCTCGAAATACTCTCACATGGTCACGCGTATATAGCCTCTGCCAGAGAAGTCCTACTCACTGCCTTCTCGTGGCGGGGATGTTGTTTACGAAAATGAGAAGACGAAAAGCGAATGTCCGGCGCTTTAACCGGATTCCAAACCAATGGTGCACATGGGCTCCAGTATCCTGCGGGAACAAATGGCGTACGAACCAATTGTTGGTCACCGGCTTCCATGGGACTGCATCTCCTTACGATGCTCCACTGCCTTGTGGATCAAACCTTCAGGTCGAAGGTTCAGGGAGTGGCCCCCTAAGATAACCACCTGCTTCGGTTTGGGCACCTGGGCAGTATTACAGCCCTCACACATATCGAATGGGATTTGTGTGGCGCATATGTATTTGGTGCCTCCTTGTACCAATATCTATGTGTTAAAATAATAATAATAATAATAATCTACCAATATCAGATATATAGGCAAGCTCATTATATAAATATATAAGATGATGATAATACGTAAGTTTGAATCGTAGAATAACTCTCAAGGTCACGTGCTAGACTACTGTACTTGTAGAAATGAAACTCATAGCTCACATAACTGAACTGCAATATTATATACGATGAGTTAATAATCATTTATTTATATAAGAACCATAACTGATGTGAATTTAATATTTCATAATGGTATAAACTCTGTATATTTTAGAAATCGAAATATGGAACAAGGTTTACGATTCTGTTGGTATTTACTTCCGACTTTATTGGCATGGATAGTAAAATATGCAATTCGTCTAATTTTATTACCGATTTTCATCGTATTTATTCTTGGTTATGTTGTGAAATATTTCAAGAAAAAGTCTAAATTGCGCATTAAATTATTACGTAAAAGACAATCAATAACTCAAGGAATGGATCATCTGAAAGAACATCTTTCATCCACGAAGAGCTCATCAAATATTGATTTACTATCAGTTACAGATCTGAATTTAGATACTATCCAAGAACGTTTAGTTGAAGGCAAATTTACACCAGTTGAATTATTACATGCCTATCAAATTAAAGCTTTACAATTATATGACTCAGGAAATTCAGGAATATGTGAATTTCTTGATGAAGCGGAGCAGTTGGCTGTTGACGTTGCTAAATTTAATCGCTTACCTAAAAGTAAACAAACGTTGGTTGGTATTCCTATCAGTTTAAAAGAATTATGTTCGACCAAGGGATATGATGTAACATTTGGTTTGATAGAACGATGTAATAAACCTTCACATGAAGATTGTTGCATATTGGAAGTACTTAGACATGAAGGAGCAATACCTTTTGTTCTGACAGCAACTTCTCAAACAGCTCTATCTCTGAGTGGAATAAATCCAGTATTTGGTGATATGTCTAATCCTCATTCATCAGAACATGAAACCGGCGGGAGTTCTAGCGGTGAAGGTGTACTTCTAAGTTTACGGGGATCTCCAGTTGGAATCGGAACAGATTTGGCTGGAAGTATACGAATTCCTTCGGTGTTCTGCGGTCTTGTTGGCTTAAAACCAACAACTAATCGTATTAGTAGTAAAGGTGTGGGTGTGATCGGTCATAAAAAGTCAGTATTATTGAGAGTAAGTGTTGGACCAATGGGTAGACGAGTGGATGATCTAGCTAAATTAATGCGTACACTTTTAACAACGAAAATGTTTCAAATGGATCCATATGTGCCACCATTACTGTTTAATGATATGATCTACGCGGGTACAGATAAGCCGAAATTGACAATCGGATATTATGCGACTCTAGAGGATCCACTAATTATTACTAGCGTTCCAAGTGTTCGCAGAATAGTGAATGAATCAGTGGACATTCTAAGACAACGCGGTCATATTTTGTTACCGTTTCATCCACCTGACATAAAATTGGCTTATGAATTAAGTATGAAGGCGATTTCTGTTGACACAAAATATAATCTTCAAGAGGCTTTGTTTGCAGAACCACTAAATGAACACACCAAATTTCTCCACCTTTTAATTAGTCTCCCACACTGGCTGAAAGTTATGATAGATAAATTATTGAATATTATCTTTGGTAGACCAGCTGCGGTTACAAGTTTCTTGGACGGTCCTAGGGGCGAAGCAAAAACATTAAATTTAATCTCAGATATTGAGTTGTATAGACATGAATTTCAAAGAGCTATGGAAGAAGCTTGTAATTTGGATGCAATCATTTGTCCAGTTTTCCCCTTCCCAGCATTTCCAAAGTCGGCTAAATCGATGTTTGTTACGCCAGCTATTGCTTATACAGTATTGTTTAACTTGTTAGATTATCCAGCTGGAACAGTCCCAATGGGATATGTGAGTAAGGAAGATGTACAAAACTCAAAAGTGATGGCTGAAGAATACAAGAAAGTCGGCAATCGATTTCTTTCTGAGGTTATTCAAGTACCAGGAAACAAGTGAAGGCTTACCGGTTGGTGTACAAATTATTGGTAAACCATGGCAAGAAGAGCGTGTGCTATATGTTATGAAAGAACTGGAGACATCAAGAACACAGAATAATTAGAACCGTTATTCTAAACCTAATTACTTCAGTTGACTTAGCTTGACCATATATTATCGCGTTATTGTAAAATATTCATTACCGTTTAATCTACACAGAAGTATAATATTTTAATATGAAAAAAACTGAATTCGGCTTTCGAATTTTGAAATCTATCTACTTCTTTCATCAAAATATAAAAATTTCTAGATATTGTTTCATTTTTGTTCATGCAGTATTCTAAACAGATTCGTTGGAACAGTAGCAAATTATTAGTTGAAATCGAAATGTGAATTCATTATTAACTAAAAAAATAGCAATTTATGTGCGATTTTCATTTCTTTTAAGTACTAGTTAGTTACAGTAATTGTTAAGCAGAGAATCATACTCAGTATTCTTTATTACACTAATGTGATTTGAACTAGGCATCCTATAACTTTAATCTTATCTCCTTCAATATATTCTTGTTTATCATAATACTTGTGTCACATCTTGCTTTCAATTGTTCAAATCATTCCTAGAAGCCCTCATTTCAACTGCATCTTTTTGGTTAGTGAGTGTTTCAATTATTGTGTTATGTGGAAGTGCTATATATGTATAATATCCAATCCACTGATGGTGATCTACCTCGGTGACAAGAATATAGGCCTGATTTTTGGTAAAAATGAGTTGTTTTGAGCAACAGCCGGACGTATATGTATATTAATATATCTTTTTAGTAGCGAAAGAAAATAAGTAAAGGAATCTAATCTAGCTAGAACTGGGAATTAAAGATAGTTAGTTGGCGTTATAACTCAATGGCTAATTTGACTCATCTGTATTTTATTGTCAACAATATTGGTTAAGTAAAGTGATCACAGTTTTCATGCTCATCATTCAGTTTTCAAAGAACGTCAAGTGTCTGACATGATATTCTAAAGCCGTAATAGATCGTGTTTTTAAGAAAACAAGAATATATGGAGTCACATAATGTTAAGCTCTCATTCGTTCATAGCCAAAAGGTGTTTCATGGAAGCTTACTAGGTGACAGTTTTTATTTAATCTTTGACATTCACAAGAAATTTACACCCAATATAGTAAACCTTATTTCGCTTAACCTAAATTTTGATGAATATTATTCATGATCGTATTTTCATTGGTTTAAGAAATTTGTAAACAAGAGGCTAAAACTTCGAGTGCAGTATTTGAATATTGACATAACGTTGAGGAACGATTACTAAATAATTCAAGAAAATATTTAAAATGTAACGAGGTAGAGTTAATCTGGAAGATTTGGTGGTGAGACTATAGTTTATGGACGACCTTTGAGCGATGCTTAAGTGACCTTGAGAGTGTAAAAGAACTCAGTATGGTTAAATGGGTGTTATAATTTAGTTTGAGAAATTAGGATTAGGATTTACAGTCGGATTTTAGGATTATTAATAAAAGTTAGGGTTTTCATCACGAATTGACACCGGCTGAAATCCGAAAATGCTATTTAGCCATTTTGGTTAGCGTTTTTTTAGCGAATTAGTTTTCTAAGGGATGGGATCGCTAACCCCATGCCAAGCCCTCCTCCTTTATCCGGGCTTGGGACCGGCAGTAGCCCCCGGGGGGACTCCAGGAGGAGTTATTTAGCCATTTTGGATAAGTGAATTTCACGCCAAAATCCAAGACGTATTATTTTAAATCTGGTTCTTCCATATATCGTAGTCTCGTAGATTTCGTGTATTTATAGGATCTATTTTGAACAATGTAATTGCATACTCTTACGTCAATTGACTTAGAATGAAAACTAAATGGGGTTAGCTAAATAAATATTTGAATGAATGGTAAAAAAATAATAAATAAAAACTTAAGAAGACAGTGGCACAATATGGAGGGAATGAGAAGTTCTTGGATCACCTATAGAATGGAAAATAAACAAACAACTACCAGAGCGGGATCAAAGTTAAAATAAACTTTTTGGTCATGTTTTGTTTTATAAGGATTTAGATACCTTGTTACTCATTTTACTGGTTTATATGTATGTGAACAGCACACAGATACTGCTTGTCTTAATGGGTGATATTGGGTCTATGGATTTTTAATATTACATGTATTATATATGAAGTTTAGAATCATTGTTCGTCCAAGCGTTAGACTCGTCTTTCTCAGTACCGTCCATTTTAAGGAATTGTTAGAGAATGAAGGTTATTTTCTAGTCGAGTTTTCTACTATCATTTTAATTAACTTTCAACAGCGTGAACGGTAAAACACTTTCTTTATGATCGGTTTTATCCATAACAGCGATGCTTAAATCTTTATCATATGGGAGAATAGCGAAAATAACCTGGATACTAAACACTGTTATGACTTGATTTGGAACTATGGTTGACATTGTTAGCAAGGTTCCAGTTGGAGCTGAAAAACATAGGATAAGAGAGTCTATCGTTGATTGGATAAAGAATCTGTTTTAAATCTTCTTTCTGCAAACTGCTTTATTTTTGAGTACTACATAGGTTGGTTATTCATAGGTGCACTACAAATTACTCTGAATCGAAGCAAACTAACAAGCGTCATCAAATCTCCAAAACAACTTTGCCCCGATGATATTAAAAAAATGGAGAAGTACAATGTTGAACGGGTATATGTAGGAGCATTCTTCTACAGGTGTTTGAATACTTGGTATCATGAAGAATGTGTACTTTTTTTAGTCTATCAGTTGAATGATAATGCACTTCGTTTTTGCTCTTAATGATACACTGTTTTGATAGTGGAGTTATTCTTACCAGTTTTGTCAGTTATGTAAAATATACTTTCCAATAAACCTTCGTGTACTTACTTTATATTAACAGACTGTAGATATACTAGTAAGATCTGGGTTATTGAGTGTTGCTAAGTACTACTGAATGACACCATTTTGGAGCCACATCAAATCAGGAAATTTCCCATTACATTTTAAACTGTTTGTCAACAATTTATAAAACTAGTCTAAAGTTCACTTCTTGCAACTATTCTCTTCTTTTTTTTATTTAAGAAGTTATCATAACTTAAAAATCAAAGAACATAACTCATTGTCACTCTGAAAATGCTTATCATCCATTCTTTTACTTTCTTTTGTTTCATTTGATTGGCCTACCTGACTTAAAAGATAGTACGTTGAAGAAATCATATCTGATTACTTGTTTGAATTTTATTTGGCAAATGCATCATATCGTTTTAGTTAATCTTGCTTTTCTCGTTATATTCTAATGATTTATAAATGGGATTAGTCTAAATTAAGGCTAGTTGAATCATGGCCTCCACTTGTACCTGATGTTTTGTGTAAATTAAATTATATTACTTACCAATAATCAGTATGTATTGTAAACTTGCAATCATTTTAGTGAATAGGTGGCAAAGTCTCTGTTAACCCGCAAGCAAATAAATTTTCAGTCATAACTAACCGTACCGCAGATTACGGTAAACTAGACATGTACTCTAAAAAATTTTATACAAGGTATAATTATTTCTAAACAGAAAAAGCCTAGTGATAGAGATAATCTATTAGTTATTGATTCATCTGTTGTAAAGAGTTTCAAAAGTCCAACTAAGATTATTTCAAAGGAAAATAGGAAGCTAAGTTAGATTTTTAACGAATAATAGTTGGAGTACTTAAAGTATAATCCTTGTCCGAAAGAAAATCTAGCTTAAACCGTGTTGTTGATAAAGAACTATTTAAATTAGAGAATGCCAATAATGCCCATGATGTTAAACTAAATTTTTAATTATCTGATGATAGTGTAACGATCGACAACTCGGGTACGGATAACTAATATATCGTCTTATGTAAAATTACACAGGGAGTTGGTAAAATGCTTAAATTATTTATCAAATACATCATTTACATATTTTCCTTCAGTTGTCTTTTACACTATCATTCTCTCAATCCTGTTTTTATTCTGATTGCTCTTCGTTTTTCTGTTTATTCTCTTTACTATACTTTCCTGCTGGTGAGTATTCTACTTCCAATTCCTGCTATATACTGCCTGTGCCTGTCCGAATACGTAGTACACATCACAATTGTAATTTTAAACCTCCAACTGAATTCGACTCAGAAATAGAAGCAGATCAAACTGATATTCATTGATAAAGTCTCGTCGAATTACATGTACCTTTGTCTCCTGAATATGGAGCTCTTATAGAATGTTTTAGTAGATAACCTTTGATTAATTTTTAAACATTAGGTCAACATCGAGTAAAGGGCAAGAATGTAGTATAATTGAGTTGTTTAATGAGAAAGCTAATTTTAGCATTGTTGTTTCGCCCATCGGAGCTGATGAGCCAATAATTGGCGTTGCGAAGTCACATCTTACTAAAGAGGTAATGTTCCCGTTACATATACGCAATATTTCTGTTGAACTTTTATGTAGATATTTCAAATTATGACCTGGTATTAAAGATAATCGGATTCTGACCCTTATAGAAAAGATAACGTTTTATGACGTTATAAGTTTACTTTCATGTATCAAATTCAAAACGTCTGAGATTTGCCAAAGCTATGGCGGGCAAACGTCTAAAATCAGACCTGTGAGTTTGAAAAGAAACAGTAATAAATCTTCCTTTATCCTGCCAACATTACATGATTTATATTGCATAATTCATTGATTCAACTCTTTCTCAAGTTTTGATTACATCACTGTCGTTTTCTCTAATTCATAATTTTCATCCGTATTGGCTGACTTCGACTCATGTCTTTCTTCATCACCATTAGTTTGCTTTCACTTACTTCATTACACAATCATCTAATGTTTGTTTGTTCTATGATGTTTATCTTTAATCACCTTAGTATTTATAAGTGACATTATCTATAATAATTTTGACTTTAAAGTACTATAGGTTGCAAGCAGCTGATGAGAATCCGGAGAAAAAAATGAGTTCGTATTATCTTTGTTTTTGCTCTCTTCAAGATAATAAAGGGAACTATGTGTATGAAACTTCTGTTATGGATAACCCGTAATTGATCCTATACATTTTTCATTTTCTGTATAATTTTATTTTCTAGATGATTGCTCACTTTTGAAGCATACTGAATTGACCCATCCTTTTTCTTTCGATAGGATATTGTTTCTTGACTGATAGAACCATTCTTCTAATCACTAACTATATTCTGAAGTACTTGATGATGCTTCTGACTATGTTAATTATGAAAGCACTAGGAACAACAAGATTCTATCACCCTCTAAAATGTGTTCATATATTTATTCATGACAGAAAAACGGCACAGAAGAAATTGAAAGTTCCCACAATATCGGTAAAGTTAAGTCAATGACTTGAAAGCAATAGAAACGAATGGATGTTACTCATTACGACATGAAACGAAATGTTCAGATGCATGTCAATTTTTACAAAATTTAGGGGAATATGGGTTGTGCTTGGATATGGTTGTTGCTACAGATGCTCGCGTTGGTAGGATAAGAATCAAAACTAGCCTTGAAATGTT